AAAAAGGGAAGTGGGGTGTGTGCAGTAGGGTGGGGTGGATGGGAAAGGCTGGGGAAGTGTGAAGGTTAATTAATTCAGGTTCTGGTTAGTTGGGTTCCAGGTAGCTAAACCATCAGTAAACATGAATTCAAGGTTTGGAACCACACACATCAGAGTCATAAGAAAAGGAGGGCCAACAAACCAGGCATGGTGGCACATGAACTCTGGGAGGCTGAGATCCGAGGACTGCAAATTAGAGCCCAGGGCCCAGCCTGAGCAACTCAGTGATTTAGTGAGACCCTGTTTAAAAAAAAGCCAAGAAGGAGGGTCCCCAAAGGTTTGTTGTTACAGCATTTCTCTACCTCATGTCATTTTGTCTGGCTGTCAACTGGTTCACTGGTCTTCACTGGGGGGAGTTTGTCATCAATGTGTCATCTGAACTCACAGGGCTGTATTCATTTTGATTAGATACCTTATCTGTGCCATTTCAGTGCAAGCTCAGGGTGTAGTAGGTCCATGTGGACACCAGAGATGAGTGTATGTCCTTGATTTTTTTCTTCCTTACACTTAATGACCTGGCTTTTCTTCTCTAAAAACGCTTTAAACCTGGATGTGGTGATGGCTGTAATTCCAGCACTGTGTCTCAAAAACAACAACAAAAAACCAAAAATAAAACACAACAAAAAATTCTTTATGTCCAGTTTTTTGTGATATTATAATAACTGACTCAGAAACCTTTGCTGCTTTGTCCTACTGTCCACACCTAATTGAAAAGCATAGTTTGTTTCTAAGCAGGACTGGAAAGTCTGGTACAAGAATGAGGAGACTGATTTATACATATTGTTGTTTAATTTGTTTTTTTCTTTTTTCCAGTACCAGGGATCAAACTCAGGACCTAGTGCCTGCAAGGCAGGAATGGTGCCACTGAGCTAAATCCCCGGCCCTACTGTTTAATTTTGATTTCATTTTACCCCCTTTTTGCTTTGTACTATTTCCTTAAGCCAAATTTACATATGCATGAGTATGTGTGTATGTGTATGCACACATACATAATCTTAGTATCTTAAGAACAGAGGGGCATTATTTTTATATTTTTATTTTTAATTAATTTCATTGGTACATTTTAGGTATACAATATAATGACATTCATCATTGGAAATTTACACCTTTACATACTCTCTCGGTTCTTATTTTTTCCCCCTTTCCCTGCCCGCCCTCCAACCCCTCCATCCCTATTTACAAAGACTTTGTTTCCATTTTTTCATTTTCTCATATTAATTCCATTCCCTTCTTTCCTTTCCCCTACCCCTCCCACTTCCCCTTCCCCTTCGCCCCTTTTCTTCCTATTTCACATTATCTATTATACCTTTTAGTCCTTATTTACACTTTCTGTTTCTCACGATAGAGAAACTATTTGGTATTTACACATGTGTGTCCTATTTATTTCACTTAAAGAGTATCGCTTTACTGTGCATCCATTTAAAAAAAAGTAATACAAAGGGGCATCATTGAAGAAAGTGCTTTTGGAGCTTTAAAAATAGGTCCCTATGTAGTACTCTTCAGGAACTCCATCCCTGGTCAGCCACAGGAAGAAGGCCTGAAGGTAGTGAAGGAGATCTGAAAGAAACATGTCTGCTAGACCTGATGAGAATCAGCTGGTTGCTCTTCAATGCAGCTTTTTAAACACAGAAAACTAGGGCCCAGTGGACTAACCCAGTGGATTTCATCCTACATGTTACCCACAGTAATGCAGGTCACTCACTGACTCATTCTGTGACTTATGGGTAAAAATAATACCTGTTTCACTCAGCAGTACAGATGAAGGATACCTTAGGTAGCACTTGGAGAATGTAAAGAGGAATTATAATAATGAGAGGCCCTATAGCAGGAGAACCAGCTGCTATGAGTTTCCTCTCAAATCTTTCCTTTTCCACTGCTCTGGACACTGACAAACCTGCATTCCCTAGTTCCTCCCTGCATGTCCACCTCCACTGAGCAAGACCTATCACAACCACAGTCAGGCACATAGCTCCATAACATTGTTCACACAACTCTCTGTGCATGGGCTTACTATAAGCACGTAATTTTAAGAACCAGAGCAGCCTCATGACAGGAGTACAGGTGGCTACATGCTTCCCTTTGTCCCAGCGAAGGAGGCTTCCTTTATGTGTAAATACTATTTTGGTAGAGACTGAAGATGTTAAACACTGCTGTCCAGCACTAGTTAGTTATTCTGCACAGCATTTCTGGAAGATGGGTAAGCCCTGGTATCCAGGATTTGAACAACTGTGGTAAAATGTGAAAACAGAAAATTTATCATTGTAGTAATTTTTGAATATAGTGTTTGGTGGCATTAAGAACATTCACATTGTTGTGCAGTCATCACTACTATCCATCTCCCAAACTTTTTCGTCTTTCCAAATTCAAACTTTATATCCATTAAACAACTTCCCAATCCACACTCCCTCTAGCAACTATCATTCTACAGTCTAACTCTATCAATTTGACAACTCTTAGTACAGTATCTCATATAAATGGAATCACTTAATGTTCATCCATTTGCATCTGGTTTATTTCATTTAGCGTTTTTAAGATCCACCCCCATTTATGGTAACGTGTCTAAATTTTATATCTTTTAAAGTTTTAATAATATTCTAATGTATGTATATGTCACATTTTGTTTATCTGTTGATCTGATGACACACACTTGGGTGCTCCCACCTTCTGGCTACAGAGAATAATGTTGCTATGAACATGGACACAAAAACACAAATCCATACTTTCACTTGAATATATAACAAAAAGTGGAATTGTTGGGTCACATGGTAATTCTGGTCAATTTTTTGAGGGATCACCATAATGCTTGATATTCAGTATTTTTATTTTTATTTTTTGGTACCAGAGATCGAACTCGGGTCCTTGTGCTTGCAGGGCAGGTGGCAGAACCACTGAGCTAAATCCCTGGCCCTCAGTATTTTTAAATTAATAAACTAATTTTAAGAAAAGTTTAAGGTTCACAATAAAACCAGGCAGAAAGTGAAGATGTTTTTCATATACTCCCTGTCAGTACTCAGTTTAACAGAGACACCCTAGGCTACTGGTGGTGAACCTATGGCATGTGTGCTGCAGCAGGCTGTTTATCACTGAAACTTCTAAAAGGTTCGCACCATCACTGTCCTAGGCTCTTGGTGACTGAGTCCTCTCTCCAAGGGCACAGAGGTGATACAGCCAGGCCCTGTTATATCCAGTCAGAAAGTGAAGCCCTGATTCACTAGTCACAGAAACTTTCTTTCAACCCTGACCTGTAGGTGTGAAACTGACCGAGAGCACAGGTCATCCTACAGGAAAGCCTGATGTGTAAATGTGGAGATACACAGATTTCAAAGCATAAAGGAGTGAGCATAAGGAGCGTTCCATCCAAGCCTTTTCTTTCACTTCATGGAGATGCTTCATAAACCAATACTTTCCTTCCCAGAATGCTGTGCAGAATAGTGCTTGACAGAGATGTTAGAGTTTGTGAGGGTGGAGTAATAAGAGATAATTATATCACTCACAACTCTGTCAGCCCTAATACCAGCCCAGTTGTTCGTTGGGCAGCTTCAGAAGACAGCTCTGGATTAATTTCATTATAGAACTCTTCTATCACCCACTACTTTTCCTCTTATTTTTCTGATCTTGTGAGTTTTATTTTAAACACACACATTTAAAAATCTATCTCCAGGGATTTTGGTTGTATTAATGTTCGGGCAATGGCTATGCTCCTTCACTACATAATTTCTTGACAATTGCTTTATTAGCAATGATTATTACTATATTCAAGTAAAATCTTCTAAATCACAGTGCTGTTTCCACAGATTTAAAATGCCCAGCAACTCAAATGTTTCCTGGACAGTATTATATAATTTTCACTCTCATCTTGATTCAAGAAAACAAAAGAAAAAGTGTTTGAAATTCCTACAATGAAAATTCAGAAAATACAAAATGTGTATCTATTCCCAGGCATATGTGTATATTTGTATGTGTGTTCACATACTCACCCAGGTATGCAATTGTCTGCCTAAACTCTTCTACATTTTTCTATTAACATGGAATAAATTGCCCTTGTCCTTGGCAGAGAGGCAACTGGCTATTTGAAAGGTAACACAATATAACCCCATCTTCAAAATACACCCCCAAAATTCTGAATTTGATGATTTGGGATACTTATTGGAAGTGTGCCTCCTGTCACATGTGTTTTGTAAATCAAGTCACATTTAAGTGTATGAGGGAGGGATAATACTATGATGACAAACTTTGAACGGGAACAATATATTTCCCAACCCAGGGGAAAAAAAGATTTTTCTTTTTGAGTGTAGCTGAAAGCATGATGAGCATACTTGTAGAAGAACTATAGTTGTTGTTTTTTAGCTTGATAATAGTACTATTAGTCATATCTTCTGAAAATCAGGAGCAAAGAATGACTGGTAGGAAAGCTGACATGCAATAATGGCATCTATTTGTACTGTCAAATCTGAAGGTACTGGGCAGACTTTAAACTTATTTTTCCTGAGATGTGTGTCAATGTATTAAGTAAAGCATGCCATATCTTAATTTAACGGTATTTAATACTGAAACAGACAGTTTTCTACCTTTATTGCTCATTCTTCCAATCATACTTAAGGCAGTCATTCTCAAGTGGGGAGTCCTGGAAGCTACACAAGCATCACTTGGCAACTTGTTAGCAAAGGAAATTCCTGGCCCACACAATCCAGATCTACTGAATCAGAAATTCTGCATGCAAGGCCCAGCAATCTGTACTTTAACAAGCTTGCCAGGTGATTCTGATGCAAGCTAAAATTAAGAATCACTGAGTTAGGGAACCGCCAATATGCAGATTCTAATCCTTGCTCCTTTGCTCAATTCTAACTCTCAAAATACTCTATTAAAAGTAATCAGCGTGTGCTTAGACTATTTGTTACTATCACCTAAGAAAATATTTGTCATTGTTTTGTTAAGAAAAAGAAACCTTAGTCAAAACTTACATATAATTCTTCCAGGTCCTGTCCTGACGTCGAGTCTTAGGATGCAGGGAACTGGGCAAAGGGAGAGATGAGAAGGCTACAGCAATCCATTCAGACATGGACCCCAAAGTTTTGCAGGGCAATCGTGTGGTAGGTCAGTAACTGTCCACCTGATTGGAGAGGAAAAGTTGTCTATTAATAAAGTAAACTTTGCATGTGAATACTTCCCACCCCAATCTTACAATATCTTGATTTATTCTTTATGATCTTTTCATTAACTTTCTATCTCTTGACCAAGACACATAAACAGAATATGACAAAATGGTCCAAGGTATTAATGCCTGGCTCCACCCAGGTGGAAGCTCTATTCTTTGAGGTATTTCTTTCTTTCTTTTTTTGGTACAGGGGATTGAACTCAGGACCTTGCGCTTGCGAGGCAGGCGGTGGAACCACTGAGCTAAATCCCTGGCCCTCTTTGAGGTATTTCTTGTCAGTCAATATCCCACCAGTTATCTACTTCTCAATTTCATCTCAATAATGTTTTCTCTCACATTTAAGAGACACATGTGGCTGCTGTAACTAGCAGTGACTCGGGAAACAATTAGTTTGTGAATTTTGATTTAAATGAGGTGAGTTTGTGATGCCTCAGATGTGTTTAAAGTTAGTAACATTTACTTTCTCTGATGACAAATGAATGCATGCTTATCATAGGACATGCAGAAAATACAAAAAAAAGGCACAAAGAAAGAGAAAGTATAAATCACTAATGAAAGGGCTTAGAATCTCCTCACTGGAACTCCTGGAGGTGGTAAGTTTCAGAAGTCAGGCTCTTTTTGGATATTAGAGTAGTATGATAAAGTTACTACTTATCATTTTAAGTCTGGACTAGCATATTAAATATTTCTGTGCAAAAACAGAGGCTTGCACTTATAGTGACAAAATTGAGTCCTTTATAAGTTCAGGCCAGATTTTTCTTTTTATTCTTTTTCCCTCCTCTTAGTTTTTGCAGTGCTCAGATTAGAACCTAGAGCCTCACTCAAACTCTACCAGGCCAGATCTATGCACCAAAGAAGTTACAAAAATAAAACAAACCCTGGAACAATTTGGATTTAGAATTGGGGTTAAGGAATTGTGGGATATACAGACATACTTGGAGTTTTGTTTCTAATACTTTTTAAATTTAACTATGAAGTAAAATGTGAGTTATCTGAATGTGAGCATTTCCCCATTATTAAAATTATTTAGAAACATGATTATAATGTCTATGTACTACTATATTCTACCAAACTATATTTTATTTCATTGTTTTCATCAGTTTTGGAATAACAGATTTTTTTTGATATTGCAATTAACATTTTCAGAGATGTATTTGATTATCAGAGTCAGAATTTCTGAACACTTTCTTAAATGGGTTCCTAGAAAAAGAATTACAAGTCAAATGGTGTGAACTTTAAGTGTCCTGATGATTTCCTAGAGAGCCTCACTAATTCATGGCCTTCTCATGAGGGCCATGAGTGATTTGCTAATTACCAACTCTACTGTAGGAGCAGAAAAATATACTTGCACTTCACACATCTTCTGAAGTTCTAATTTGTGAGGACCAACAGGACATAAAATAGGATATTTTATTTTACTTTTCCTTACACAGAAGATAGTGAGTAGCTTGCTATATTTTCATATAAGAGAGAAATGGGATTAGTATAAGTTTACCATCAAAAGGCTCTCATTAGGCCAGGCTGAGTCAGAGGTAGATAACGGGACAGCTGCTACTTGTCAATGGGGTCTTAATACTGAAGTGGCTGGGAGTTTGGAAATAATTCACATGTTATCTGTGGGCTAAAACTTCAGCTTCTGGAATACCAAGGCCTTGTGGTTCCCTTCCTTCTGGTGTTTTCCTTTTTCCTAGACATTCTGCTGTTCCTCAGCGTGGTCTCAGAGAGCAGAAAGAGACGTAAGGACAAAATCAACTCAGACCTACTACTAATAATGGCTAACTCTCCAATATGCTGTGGTGTGCTGTTTCTGGTGCCAGGTGTTTTCCATGCATTCTCTCATTTGGGGCTGCATGCACTGGTATAAAAATTGGTAGCTGGCAAGTTTGAAAGTATGTATGTACTCACTCATTAGTCCTCTTTATGCCCCAGTGTTTGGAGGAAGTTGAGCTTCAGAATATCAAAGATCTATTTGAGCCTAGTATCTTATCACCAAGACAACTCCACAAACTTTACCTTTTCACCCATTTGTCAGCACCATTTATGGCATCTACATGAAGCAGGGATAATTGTGTTAAGTCCAAGAAAATTTGAGATAACAGTAAACCCTTTGAAGGTCCTCTACTAGCAGGAAGGAGGCTATGTTTCTTAGAGCACAATAGAGTGGTAACTGATACACAACACAAATCAGGGTATACATGGAGGAAGATAGTATGGCATATATATAATATATATTTTAAAAAGCAAACAAGTAATATATTTTTCCCAAATGTGACTACAAATTAGGATTTCCAAAACAGGGCTCCAAGATCCAAGTTCCTTTCCATTTATGGCTTTTTCTAATAATTTTTCTTTCTTTTTCCCTTTATATGAATTTAATCTTACAGGATAATTGGTGTAGAGAATGTCAAAATTTTCATATTCTAATAAAAGAATTTAAAAAAGATATTTCTGTGTTATTGGAATGATATAACCTTACTCTATCCCTTATCTATAAATTCAATTTCTGCCACCAGTAGGTACTACAAAATGTCTAAGGATTGGAGGATGGGGATTCAAAATATTTTTTAAAATTTTGTGAGTGAAATTGATCTTTCCAAACAATTTCACGTAAAAGTAAGAGTTGTTTCTATTAAAATGATCAAAAGACCAAAGCTATATCAAGAAATGGATAAAAGCAGCAAATAAGCATATGAAAAAATGTTCAACATCACGGGTCATTTGAGAGATGCAGATGAAAACAACACTGAGATTCCACCTCACCCCAGAAAGAATGGTTGCTATCAGGAAATCAACCAATAACAAATGCTGGTGGGGCCGTGGGGAGAAAGGAACCCTTCTCCATTGTTGGTGGGAGTGCAGACTGTTGTGACCACTGTGGAAATCAGTATGGAGATACCTGAAAGAACTAGGAGTAGAGGTCCCATTTGACTCAGCTATTCCCCTGCTGGGTAGCTTCCCAAAAGAATTTAAAAAATCATATCACAGTGATATATGTGCACCCATGTTTATAGCGGCACAGTTTGTAATAGCGAAAGCTTGGAAACAGCCCAAGTGCCCATCAATTGGAAACTGGATAAAGATGTGGTTTTCTTTATAAAATAGAGTACAACTCAGCCATAAAGAACAACAAACTAGAGACATTTACAGCTAAATGGATGCATATTGAGGCCTTACTCTTAAGTGAAATAAATAGAACACACATGTGTAAATACCGAATAGTTTCTCTGGTGTGAGAAATTGAAAGTGTAAATAAGGATTAAAATGATTAAGACGAATAATTGATAATTTGAAACAGGAAGAAAAGGTCCAAAGGGGTAGGGAAAGTGGGAAGGGAAGGGGAAAGGAAAGAAGGGAAAGGAAAAAATATAAGAAAAGGAAAAAATGGAAACAAAGTCTTTGTAAATAGGGAAGGGAGGACAGGAAATGGGGAAAAAATAAGAACCAAGATACATCATGTACAGATACAAGCACTCAATGATAAATGTAAACGTATTGTATACCTAAAACGTACCAATAAAAGAATTTAAGCAGAAAAAAAGAAATGGACCATTTCCTTCACTGTGGCTTTTCTTCATAATTTAAATAGTGTTTGCCTGATATTTAGGTGTCAGAGGAGGTAGAATGGACTATATATGATTTTCTTTTGCCCACTATCAGATATATGGTTAATTTTCTAAGCACACCAGGAATACAGGGTGTGAAAAATAAAGTGGTAATGGACGATATGATCCCTCAAAGAGCATACTTTGTTTTTTTCAAAGGGTCTAATTGCCTTGGGGAAAATACAAAAAGCAAATCACCACTAATAACAGAAATGCTTACCAGAAGCTCTTTAGATACTTAAACTGTACAACTAGCATTTGTAAAGCTAATTACAAATTTGGATTCTCTCATTTTAAAATTATACTTCAAAGCAGCCCACTTCTGTTTCAATGCTGAACCAAAGTCTGTGCAACTGGCACATAATCAAAGTAAAAAAAATAATAAAATGCATCACTTGAATAAAGTTATTATTTTTGATGTTGCTAAATCCTGAACTGCAAAATGCCACAGGCTAAAAACTAGTAATACCACATGGTTATGTTATCTTACATTTTTGAGAATTCATAGTTTTGGGGTTTTTTTCAGCCATAAGAGTGTAGATCTCTCTAGTTAGCCTACCTTTGTTATGTTGGACAGGCCACTCATTGCCTCCCAGCCTGACACCTCCTGTGGGTTCTTGTGGAGATTCAATGAAAATATGTATAAAAGTAGTTTTTTTTCATAGCTTATGACATACCTAAAATGTTGGTCATCTTTTTTTTTTTTTACTAACAACTTTGTGAGGCTTAAAAATATTAATCCCCCCTTCACAATTAAGGAAAGTGACAAAGAAAGATTTGCAAAAAAGAAGTACCAAGTTAGTTTTATTTCTGCACTGGCCACAAACTAGGTGAGTGAGTGCCTTGGGACTTGATTTCTTTGGTAAAACGAGGGCACTGGATGAGATGATTTTAAGGTCTTCTTGAGGCAATGGCTCCATAATCTGGGACTTGGACATAGCAGTGATGGGGGAACCTTTGGAAAGCTCCTTAGCAAGTGTTTCTCCTGAAGGGCAAGGCACCATGACAACAAAGGCACCATCTGCCACTCTGAGGCCTGCAAAGCGGGGGTAGCATTTTTGAGTAGCCTCCGTCCAGCGGGGAAGGGGCATATATTACCTCAGTCATCTTATTGTTCTGAGGAGATGTTGGGCGAATCCTAGGGAATAAGCAGTATCTCTGGGGGCATAAGAAGGTACTGGAGGGGCTTAAAACAGCAGGTCTTCATTAACTGGTACAGCTATTTTATTACTTTCACAACCATTATAGCCAAAGAAATGCATATCAACTAGACAGATGTCAGTCTTGCTAACAGTATCACTGTTGTTTGGCTGTCACTCTAAAGAGATAGTCACTTCTGTGGGCCACCCACCT